ACTCCTTGTATTAAATGTGATACAATTAAATATTTAAGTGAATATTAATTTTAAATAAAAATAAGAATGACAACAAAAATAAAAAATTACATAAAAATCAAACACCAGGAAAACAACACTCATAATGCACCAACATAATTCATAATTCTAACAATAATAAATTGTTTAGTAATAACACTTTTAACAATTATAAAATATGAAAAATATACATTATAGATTATTAATTATAAGGTTAATTAGATTCAGAAATGAAGTAATTTTCATTTTTTTTGTATAATTAGTATTGATTCGATCTGATTGTAGAAATTTGAACAAAAAACAAACTAGACCGATGATTTTCTAATAACCAATCCAACACAATCCAAACAATTTCAATTTTTTGGGATTGATGTTTGATTATTTTTTATCGATCTAGATCTAAACATCCCAAAATCCAGTACCATCATAATTCATAACCATGAAATTAATTATATCATATGGTTGGCAAACAAAAATAATGCAATATTATTTCCTATTTTTATTGTGTTGAGTGACACTATGTATTTCTTAGAATCAGGCAAGATGAATGTAATCCCAAATACAAGTAGAACTGAAGTTACCTCAACTCCAGCAAGTGGATACACTTGTAGCAACTATTGAAATTACAAGTGAAGGCCCATCCACAAAAGAGGTAAGTGATAAACCAATCTTTGATCATTAGAAGAAAATTTGCTTTAAACACATGTATTAAGAAAATAAAGCAAAGGAGGCATTAGAAAATTTGAGGGGTCTAATCAAAAGAAACTTTGGTCAATATGTTATGCAATATCATAAACTCCATGAAAATGGTGATACTACTTGCCAAAACACAAATATATTGTCACTATGGTCAATGAACTACACAAAAAAGTAAGTTGGATACTTCATGATGATTTTGATGAACTACCTAATCTGATGATGATGATGATTTGTTTGACATTTTGAAATGGTGGAGAGGCATGTTAATCAAGTATTATGTTACTTCACGCATGAGTAGGGATTATTAGCTATTCTAGTTTCTAAAGTGTTTTCCGAGATTGCATTTAGCATCGGGTCACATTCTTGACTCATATCATAGTTCATTATGCCCCCTCCATGATTGAGGCTTTGATTTGTGCTCAAAATTGGTTGTAATTTTTCAAGTCATATGGTTGAAGCTAAATAGTAATAAGTTTTGTATTGTTAGTTGTTATACCTTTTTATTTGAAATCTTTTATTCTTATATTGATATTTGTTTTATTTCAATATTTTATCATAGTTGGCAGTAGGCATTAGTGAATTGTAGGAAAAACAAAATGATGTCATTGTTTTGTTCGGATTGCTTTACACCACAAATGTTAATATGTGACATGTAATGATAGCTAGCACCATGTGTTGCACAATCATGTCTTAAAATGGTGCAATTCAGACAAAGATAAAAAACAATGAATTAAAGATGAAGTGACATGGATCAGTGGCACAAGCCATATGAATACTCAAACTTAAGACTAATGGGAATGATATTCTTAAATTTTGTTGGACGGGATTCTTTATCCTGGATTTTTTTGGACTAAAATTTCAACTTTGCAGTGTGTGGAATTGTATTGAATGTTTGTAACATAGGGCTTTGGATTTTTTTTTCTTGTAGTGATTGAGTATTCCCAGATCTTTCTTGCTTCTCAGGTTCAGTGTGTAGTTTCCTGGTTCAGTACCAATTCAAGCAGGATCATGCCTTAAAGGATTAAAAACCAAACAAATCTGTTGAGTAAACCAAACACAAGCCACTGCTTTATGCGTGTTTAGCAGAGAACAAGAAGGAAAAGGTTTAGAGGTAGAAGATGAAGTTGAGATGGTTGCTGTGTGAGTGAGTTAGAGAGAAGAGAGAAAAGAAAGTAAAGAGAGTTGTATATTATTGAGGGAATGGATTTCTTGATTTTATTTATCCAAACACCAAAGTATTTATACACACATTTAGCACATGCTCATTAACTAACATATAGCACATGCCATTAATAGAAGGTTCCTAACTAAACTAACTAACTCCACTTTCTCTTTTTGGCTTAACTTCTAACATCCACCCTTAAGCCAAAAAGCTTACAAATTAAAGTGCAGCAAGCTTGACTAATCCACCAGAAACCAAAAACAAAGAAAGCAAAAACAGTAAGCATTAAAACAGCAACAGTTTTGACAGAGAATGACTTTAAGTTGGTTGTGATTCAAACTTCACCACTCCTAACTTGTCCCTTAGCTTTTCAAACCTTTCAATCTTCAAAGGTTTTGTTATTATATCAGCTATTTGAAATTCAGTAGGACAATGAACCAATTCAACGCTTCCCTTGCTAACTTGATCTCTTATGAAGTAGAACTTGGTGTCAATGTGTTTGCTCCTTCCATGGCTGACTGAATTCCTTGCTAAGTTGATGGTTGATTTATTGTCCACCATTAGCTCAAATTTCTCTGTATCTCCACACTTCAAATCTGTCATTAAAGAGCTTAACCACAAACCTTGACAAGCTGCATTGCAGGCTGCAATGTATTCAGCTTCACAAGTTGAGAGTGTCACTACACTTTGCTTCTTGGAGTTCCATGATATTGGTGCACCACACAAGTAGAACACTTGTCCAGAAGTGTTTCTCCTATCTTCTTTATCTCCAAACCAATCTGAATCAGAGAAACCAGTTAGTTGCAAAGCATTTGTTGTTCTCTGTCTTGGAAACAGTATGCCATAATTCAATGTTCCCTTGATGTATCTCAAAATCTTCTTTGCTTCAGCCATGTGAGCTTGAGTTGGATTAGCCATATGCCTACTTATTAAGCCAGCTCCATAAGCTATTTCAGGTCTGCTATGACACACAAACTTGAGACAACCTACCATTTGTCTAAACAAGGTTGCATCAGTTGGATTTTTGTTAGCCAACTCATCTGATCTGGTGCCTGCTTCAACTGGAACAGCAGCAGGATTGCAGTTCAACATTTGAAACCTTTTCAACACTTCTGTGATATACTTCCTTTGATGCATTATTGTGAACACTCAATTTTGTCCGACCATTTACAAAAATGCAAAAATAAAACATCACTTTATAACTTGGGAGCTTTATCTTTATCTGTTAGTATCATTTTTCATTTGTACTCTTCCCAAATAATAATGAATAGATAAATGGCATACCCTTCATAGACAAAATAATCATTTCTTAAAAGCAATTAGATAATTCTTCTTAGAAGCCATTTTGATGTAATGGACAATGTTGGAATTATTAGGATGAAAAATAACCTCAAAACTGCCTTCCGGTAAGTGAAAATTAACACAGCACACTTCTAGGAGTTAGTAACTTCGTAGACTGATTTTATAAATAAAATAAAAAAACATCAGTGTTCACAAATTATTGAAAGCACCCAGTAAAAAAAAGCACACTATGCAGATATCTTGTCCTAAAATATGAGCTTCTTTTGGAATTGGACGTAGTTGGAAAATTCTCATTTCCAGCAATAAACCTCTTTGAAACAATCCCTTCATTTTCACCACTTTGAACTGATGATTGAACATTTGCAAGAGCAAGATTGGTATTTGCAACAGAAGATGAATCCAAAGAAACAGATCTTCTTGGTCTTATATTCACCACAACACTTTCAGTTTCACATACCCTTGTCTCATCTTGAACTTCCAATTCTCCTTCTTCTTCTGAACCATTCCTAAGTTCAAGTCCTTGAGGGGTATGAGGAGCACTATTTTCCAATGAAGTTGGATCAACAACAGCATTATTAGGCATAAGAGATGGAATCCTTGTAGGGTTGGTAACAATTGGAGCTCTACACATAGGACAATTGGTATGAGATGCAAGCCAAGTATCAATACAAGGTAAATGAAAAGCATGATGACACTTAGGCAAAAGTCTTAGACTCTCATCTTCTTGAAACTCACTCAAACAAACAGAACACTCAGTTCCTTCAGTCAAACCCTCTCCTTTCTTATGCTTACAAACTATGATTGCACTGATAATTGGTTCATGAAGACCAGAAGAACTTGATATAGATGGCATGGCAGCAAACTACAAAAAAAAGCAGCAAGGTAAATAATGACATCAGCTCAAGCGGCATTAGAAAGCCATGAGTCAGACATGATAGGCAAATAAGCAGAAGCTAAGTCAGAAGTAATGTCCTCTGCAGTTACATATTCTAGAGTAATGTGCATGATGAGCAGTTACACATCTTTATTATCAGCATAAATGACTTTACTACCAAATCAATCACATAATAAATCCTAAGGGAAACCAACCAAAATACACCTCAGATGGTTGCCTATTGGGACATGCTAATTTCAGTTACAAACACTGCATTGACACTAGTTTTAAAAGCACAAAAAATCAGAGAATGCAGAATGGGTGACCAGTCGAGAAATGCAATTAGAAGATCCCAAGAGGCACTAAATTATTGACTCCACACATACACATTTGGACCAGTTACACTTCAAGCATAATAAGCATGAATAATGGCAGTTATAGACAGTTGTGAGAGAATAATCAGCAAGCCAAAAGTCTTGGATATTTCTGACCATCAATGAGCAATTGGAAGGGTTTTAACAACCCTATAAAACAGAAACCACATAAAGACAGAGATAGACACATACACACAAATTATAAGGGTATAAAAGTTCATGTTATTAGCGAGGGTACCGTTTTAATACGGGCGGACGGGGTGTAACGCCCCAAAATTCTACCCTTGAAAATTTTTCATTTATTTTTAATCCTTTCTTACATACAGTCGTCACCTTCATTAAAAACTCTCAAGTATCACTCTTGACCCTATTACATTATCATACAAATTTATGTTGCGAAAAAACATAATTCATTCAAATAGCATTTACCACATACAACCCGTTATGGGTTTCCCAGAGTTATAAAGCCCATAACTACACGTTTCCGTATTAATCTAAACGGATTTACAGTCATCCTATACTGTTATTAAATTAACTACAACGTCAAGTAGCAAATAAAAACAAATAGGTTAATAAACACAAAAGCTTCCTACGTGATCTCCCTTCTCAAAAATCCTCCATTTACCTACATTGGGATTATCATAAACAACACACAAAACAAAAGGGAGTAAGTCATTAGTTCAAAACTAACATCACATGATAATCCACATTTCAAATACGAATAATCTTTAGTATAATTCGTAAACAAACATACGGAATTGTAAACATTCAAATCATCTTCCTTTAATTTCCACTTTACTCATATTCATCCTATAGTATATATATCCCACAATATATATTCTATAGTATGCATATTACGTTCGTTCGAAACATCATCTTTCTCGTTATTCATATCCACCCTCTAACATATATATCCCATAATATATATTCTATAGCATGTATATTACTTTATTTCTCAACATCTTCCTTTTTATCGCTCATATTCACCCTATAGAATATATATCTCATACTATATATCCTATAGCATGCATACGACATTCATGTAACATCCACATTTCTCATCATTCATATTCACCCTATAGAATATATATCTCATACTATATATCCTATAGCATGCATACGACATTCATATGACATTCATATTTCTCATCATTCCTATTCACCCTATTGAATATATATCTCATAATATATATCCTATAGCATGTATATTACTTTCTTTCTCAACATCTTCCTTTTTATCGCTCATATTCACCCTATAGAATATATATCTCATACTATATATCCTATTGCATGCATACGACATTCATGTGACATCCATATTTCTCATCATTCATATTCGCCCTATAGAATATATATCTTATACTATATATCCTATAGCATTCATATGACATTCACATTTCTCATCATTCTTATTCACCCTATAGAATATATATCCCATAATATATATCTTATAGCATGTATATTACTTTCTTTCTCAACATCTTCCTTTTTATCGCTCATATTCACCCTATAGAATATATATCCCAAACTATATATCCTATAGCATGCATAAGACATTCATTGTGACAATCTCATTTCTCATTAGTCATATTCACTCTATAGAATATATATCTTATACTATATATCCTATAGCATGCATATGACTTTCATTACTCTGAGTCTTATTTCCATTGGTACTCCCCCAATAAATAGTCAATAAATGCACCCAATATCATTACAGCATAGTGTATATGCCTGTAACTACAAAGTGACTTACAATTTATTGTTTTATTCCGAGTCTTATTTTCATTGGTACTCCCCCAATAAATAGTCAATAAATGCACCTGACATCATTACAGCATAGTTTATATGCCTGTAACTACAAAGTGACTTACAATTATTACTTTATTACGAGTCTTATTCCATTGGTACTCCCACAATAAATAGTCAATAAATGCAACCGACATCATTACAGCATAGTGTATATGCCTGTAACTATAAAGTGACTTACAATTATTACTTTATTCCGAGTCTTATTTCCATTGGTACTCCCACAATAAATAGTCAATAAATGCAACTGACATCATTACAGCATAGTGTATATGCCTGTAACTACAAAGTGACTTACAATTATTACTTTATTCCGAGTCTTATTTCCATTGGTACTCCCCCAATAAATAGTCAATAAATGCAACCGACATCATTACAGCATAGTGTATATGCCTGTAACTACAAAGTGACTTACAATTATTACTTTATTCCGAGTCTTATTTCCATTGGTACTCCCCCAATAAATAGTCAATAAATGCAACGACATCATTACAGCATAGTGTATATGCATGTAACTACAAAGTGACTTACAATTATTACTTTATTCCGAGTCTTATTTCCATTGGTACTCCCCCAATAAATAGTCAATAAATGCACCCGACATCGTTACAGCATAGTTTATATGTTTGTAACTACAAAGTGACTTACATTTCATGATTTCATTTTTGAGTCTTATTTCCATTGGTACTCCCCCAATAAGTAAACCGTAAATTCACTTCTAACCATTATCAACATACCCATATATGTTCATAATGATTAAATGATTCGCATCTTATCCATCATCCATAACAGAAGATCCACGCATTTTCCAACATAATGTATAAATTAAAGATTTATCCTTACAAACACTTTACCTCTTTCACATACCTCATTCATATCAGCAAGTATGATTTAGAGACACTTATCCCTTACCTTGGTGAGTATTGGGGATCGGTTCCGAGTAACTTTAAAAGTCTCTTCCGCGATTTCCTCCAACCTTAGGATCTCTTCTCATTTCCACCAATAACAACAATGTCAGTCATTTATTCAAAATAACACAAAAATAACTCGTATTTCATCATCAAACACACAAGGGATTAACATATTTTCAATATTTCCAAAACTACTTCAATACAAGTTTCTAAATATCAAAATATACATGTTTATCTCATATATCAACATCAAAGCACAAACTCATCATCCACATCTAACATTGCATCTCTTTCTCTTTATAACCATATTCTCATTTTGGGGGTTTTCATGAATAACCCACAAAACATTTTTCATTCGTCAAATATCGACTCTAACTAAGAGTTTATAAGAGAAAAACAACATAAAACGAACCATAACTCTAAAGGATGAGTTTCCATGGTTTCTCATGTTTTGAAAATAGATCCAACATACCCAAAACAAGTTAGAGAGGAAGAAGAAGAGTTAGAAGCAAGAGGTTTACCTCTTCTCAAGCTCTAAGATGAGTCCTAAGGCTCTTTGCTCTTGAAAAGCTTTCTTCTCTCTCTTCTCTTCAAAGTTCTAACCCTAAAATGTGTTTGGGGTTTCTATTTTAAAGAGCAGTCGTCGGGTTCTCGCTCAAGCGAGCCCTTTCTCGCTCAGGCGAGAAAATCCCGCCTATTTTAAAAACTCAGATCTGACCCTCTCACTCAAGCGAGGGATTCTCGCTCAAGCGAGAATCTCACAGTGTCAACAGCCCCAGTTTGCCCTTTCTCGCCCAGGCGAGGCAACTCTCGCTCAAGCGAGAATCTTCCAGTATAGCCCAGGATTTCACCCTCCCAGGTGATCCTTTCTCGCTCAGGCGAGAATCTCTAGCTCAAGCGTGACTTCCAGGACTGATACTATAATTTTAAATACTAAAATTTGGGGTGTTACACGGGGTGTTAATACCTTCCCCAATCCGTAATCGACCCCCGAGCTCAGAATCTCTGCTCAAAGACCAAGTTATCCTAATTGGGCTTATTAGAGAGTTTTCTACGTTTTATCCGCAAAAAACGTAGTGGCGACTTCAAAACAATTGGAAGAGGTAGAAATCGAATTTGCCTCTCCCCAAGTCGCACGACCGGTCTTCCAACCAAAAATCGGGTCGCGACAATTATGATTCATTTGTCTATCTTCATGAACTCAATGCCTAGGAAGTATGCAAGTTCACCTAGGTCAGTCATTTCAAACTCAGACTTGAGTTTATGCTTCAAGTCTTCCATGCCTGCTTCACTGCTCCCTGTGATGACTAAGTCATCAACATATAGACATAGCAGAGTTATTCCACCTTCACTAGTAGTATGCACATAGACTCCATGCTCAACTATGCACTTTTGAAAGCCAATTGAGGTTAGGAAGGATTCAATCCTTTTATTCCATGCTCTTGGTGCTTGTTTTAAGCCATACAAGGATTTCTTCAATCTCGGCATCTTGGTTTCATCTCCTACAATTTCAAAGCCAGGAGGTTGAGTGATGTAGACCTCCTCCTCAAGAGACCCATTGAGAAAAGCACTCTTGACATCAAGCTGCAATAGCTTCCTTGAAACAGGTGCAAACACTTCAGAATAGTCATACCCCTCTTGTTGAATGAATCTTTTGGCAACTAGCATTGCCTTATGCTTGGAGATGGTTCCATCTAGACTTAGCTTCACCTTATATACCCATTTAACAGCTATATGTGTCTTGCTAATGAGTAATTGTGCCACTTCCCAAGTCTTGTTCTTCTCAATTAACTTGATCTCTTCCTTCATAGCCTTGAACCATACTTCTTCATTGATTGCTTGATTGAAGGTGATTGGTTCTGTTTCAGCCATGAGTGCTAGCTGAATTATGTCACCCTCATCAGTAATTGCATCATCAGTTAAGACTTCAAAATCACTAAGTTTTGATGGTGCTTGTCTAGCTCTTGTAGGTCTTGATTCAACCACTTTTGTTCTTGAGTTAAATTCTGTTGTTTGTAAGTCAGCTTCAGCTTCAGCTTCTTCTTCTACAGGAATTAGAGCCTCTTCTTGCTTGTGCTCAAGCCTCTTAAAGAAGATCCTTCCATGTGCTTATCTCATCAAATTTTACATCTCTACTGAAAGTGGTCTGCTTTGATAATGAATTGTAGACTTTATAAGATCATGTTGGATTATATCCAACAAAAACCATGAGTTCACTCTTGTCATCTAGCTTTCTTCTGACTTGATCTGGTATATGTTTGTAGCAAGTAGACCCAAAAATCCTAAGGTGTTTCACTGATGGTTTCTTGTATGTCCATATCTCCTCTGGAACAAGGTTGCCAAGGCTCTGAGTTGGGCATCTATTGAGCATATAGGTAGTTGTTGAAGCTGATTCTCCCCAAAGGTCAAGAGGTAACCTTTTGCACTTAAGCATACACCTCACCATGTTCATCACTGTTATGTTCCTCCTCTCAGCTAAACCATTGTGTTGAGGTGTGTATGGAGAAATCACCTCATAAACTATGTCATTCTCTTCACATAATTCTTCCAAAGCTTTTGATGTGAACTCTCCACCTCCATTTGTCCTGAGAATTCTCAACTATTTGCCTGCTTGCTTCTCTGCCATCTACGAAGGAAACAAAGTATTTGTTTCCTCCTATAGTAGGCAATTCTACTTGACCACAAACATCTGCATATACAATGTGTAGTGGTGCTGTGGATCTGTGATGTACATGACTGCAAAACTTTGTTCTATATTGCTTGCCCATTATGCAGCCTTCACATATTGCTTGATGGTCTCTGATATCATGGAGTCCATGCACCATCCCTTTAAACTTCAATAGTTTTAAGTCTTTGAAGTTAAGGTGACCATACCTCATATGCCAAAGCCAAGACTCATCTTTGTTTATTGATGCATTCAGGCAATGTGATTCCACTATTCCTAACTTTACTTGGAATGTCCTGTTGCTTGATAGTGGTGCACTCATGATTCTTCTCTTCATTGAGTCATACACAGCCATAAAGTAGTTCCATAGTGAGTCATTTTTCATGCAATTGACCAATGCTTATAAGGTTGGTTTTCATTTCTGGCACAAACAACACATCATTAATGTATGCTTTCCTTCCATTGGCCAATGTGAGTGGAATATCACATGTGGCTTCAGCCATTATCACTCTGTTATCTGCAAACTTCATCTTACTTCTCCTTGTTGGGTCAAAATTCACCAACCACTCTCTATGGCCTGTCATATGATTAGAACACCCTGAGTCAAGATACCAAGACTCACTTCCACAGCTTCCTGTTGTCATCATAAGTTGCACATCATTGTTATCAACTTTATCACCTTCTTCTTTGGCAAGATTCACTTGTGTGTCTTCTTTATGATGATAATGATATTGGTTCTTGAAAGCAGCATGACACTCAGATGCAAAGTGTCCTAGTTTGTCACATTTGAAGCACCTCACTTTCTTCTTGTCTGTTTTTTTCTTCCAGTTCTTGGCTTGTCTGTCAAAGTTCCTTTTGCTCAAGAACTCAGCTTGGTCTCGAGGGATTACATTGCCCAGTTGTGAGTCCCTTCTTGAGCTACTATTTTGTTCAAATGGCTTACCATTATTCCTTATTGGCCACCTATCAAAGCTTGAACTTCTTCTATGGAACTGAGCTTGTAGAGCCTGATGAGAGCTTTTGTTTGCACCTCTCTCTATCATCCTCTGCTCATGAGCTTCAAGTGACCATTGGAGGTCTTCAATCTTCATCTTTTCAAGCTTACCATATTCTTCAATTGTTATGACTACATTGTCAAATCTTGGTGCCAATGTTCTAAGAATCTTGTCAACAACAGCAGTTTTCTCTATTCTCTCACCACAAGCCTTCATAGCATTGATTTGAATGAGAACTCTAGTGAAAAATTCAGAGATTCTTTCACTCTCCTCCATTTGCATCAACTCATACATTCTCCTCATAGTTTGCAGCCTACCTTCTTCAATTGTGCAGCTACAGCATAGTGCTTTTCAAGAGTTTCCCGAGCTTCCTTTGAAGTTGCAGATCCTGTAATCTTCTCGAAGTGTGCATCATCCATGGCTTGATGCATTAGACAAAGAGCTCTACAATCTTTCTTCTTGAATTGCTTGTAAGCATTCCTTTGAGCTTCACTAGCTCCTTCTTCAAGAGTTGGAAAACCTTCTTCTACAACTTCTGTTACTTTTTTGGCTGCCAAAGATGGCCTTCATTTGAATGCACCATCTTGATCAATTCGTACCATTAAGTATGGGTACATTGGTTGCGTATGTTGTTGTTGTTTGAGCCATTAGGTTGCAAGGGAAAGAAAAGAAAGGATCTTGCTAATGCTCTTAATACCAGTTGTTGAGTAAACCAAACACAAGCCATTGCTTTATGCGTGTTTAGCAGAGAACAAGAAGGAAAAGGTTTAGAGGTAGAAGATGAAGTTGAGATGGTTTTTGTGTGAGTGAGTTAGAGAAAAGAGAGAAAAGAAAGTAAAGAGAGTTGTATATTATTGAGGGAATGGATTTCTTGATTTTATTTATCCAAACACCAAAATATTTATACACATTTAGCACAAGCTCATTAACTAACATATAGCACATGCCATTAATAGAAGGTTCCTAACTAAACTAACTAACTCCACTTTCTCTTTTTGGCTTAACTTCTAATAAAATCATGGAAAAGAATAGTGGTTTGGTTCCTATAACAAAATTTATGATCAATTAAGATGAACTAGAACATATCTTTATGTTCATTTCAATCACTAAATTATATCAAAAATTGAACCAAATCTAACTTTTATGCCATTGCGGAAATATTGAAGCTGAAAATATTTTGTAACGCGTTTAATCAAAACCTTTTTCTTAAACAAAAAGACAAGGGAAGGTGTTGGACCATATTGTTGTTAAGGTTCTATCTCAAAATTAATTAGTCATATGAGACTTATTTCCCAACATGCTCTCTCCACATAAGTCTATCGGGCCAGGCAAAAGGCTAGATTTCACACTTAAATAAACCCAACAATCTCCCCCTCAAGTGTGTATACCGCACACTTTCCTGTCCGCTCCCCTTAAGTCCAGTATGTCCTAGCCGAACCATCGGCTCTAATACCACTTGTTGTACTAGACTGCGATGGGGTCTCCAACCACTTGGGAGTTCCATTTTTACCGGGATATGGGAAGGGTAGAGAACCACAAGTGAGACATCACGTTTTAAACCAGAACCTTAAGGCATTAATTCCACCACTTATAAACTCTTTCACTTCTTCTCTCATATCCAATGTGAGACCTCAATAAACCCATGAGAAGGGTCATTCTTATTTCCATGTTTTCTTACATCATGAAATGAAGGCAAAAGTTGAAAATATAAAATGTATAGCCACGTCTTGTATCACTATCACCTCAAGTTTATAAATTTGTAATGTGATTTTACGACATACCCATCTACTGCATGATTATATCATAACCTTATATATTCATTTAAACAACCATGTTTCTTTTAAATAATAATAAATAGAAAAATTAAAGTGTGGTTCTTCCACTTGAAACAAATCACTTTTTTTGTTAAATGAGTTAACATATTAAATTAAATAATAACATGTATTAATATTATATATATTTATATCAATAAATTCATTTAGGATTTATTTAGTTTTGTTTTATTGATTTTATCTTTAGTTTATGTTTATCTTGTTACTTATTATTTGGAATGTTAGTGTCTTATTGTTTGTATTAACTTTTGCCTATATTATAAATTGTTTATACTAACTCATATTAAAGTTTGACCAATCTTTTATCATCTTAAACTTCTACATGTCAGAGTGGTTTCATCTTCCGTAATCAGTTTGATCATTATTATGTTGTTTAGATGCCACAAATTTGGAACTTCGATTAATCATCTCCCTTTATTCCATCACTTTATATTTAGTATTCACTTCTTGTTTTCCCAAGTAATGAATTATATTAATCATTCTCATGAAAGCTTATCTACAAGTAATGAATTATATTATCATAAACTTATTTTCTCATTTTCGATTATTTCAATGGTGACTATATTAAAGAGTTCTCTCTTCATCGACGATCATTTCAGTAATGTATTTTCTCCTATTGAAAATTATATCAATAATAACTTCTTTTCTCATGAACGATCACTCCACTATTGATTATATCAATGATTTCTCTTCTCACCGGTGATTATTCTAGTGGTGCCTTTTTGTTAAAGTGGTGAATTATATTGGTTGGGACTGCCTTTCATATGGATGATCATTCAGGTGTTGATTATATATGCAGATTTTACAGTTCACAACACTTTAAAATAATTTTTTTATGGAATACATATAATTATTTGATTATTTTCATTTGGAAAGAAATCATTTGTAACAAGCTTAAAACTTACTACGCTTTAGCTTGACGATGCATGTTAGATATATTTGGATTGATAAAGTATTATATTATCTAGCATTTAATTAATTTCATTTATTTGAGTTTATTTATTTTGATATTTATTATTTAGATCGTTATTATTTTATTGTTTGTAACAACTTTTGTCTATATAATAAATTGTTTTGACTCATTCATATTTGATATGGTTAAAATTTAAGATGATAAATGATTTGTCAAACTTAAATATGAGTCACTACAAACAATTCATTATATAATCAAAAGTTGTTACAAACAATAAGATAATAATGATTAATTATTCCTTCTAAAATGAAAATAATCAAATAATTATATAAGCTCCATTAAAAATCGTTGAAAGGTATTGTGAACTGTAAAATATGTATATATAATCTGCATCAGAATCATCGTCGATGTAAAAGGCAGTCAAAACTAATATAATTTACACTGGAAAAATGCATATAGAATGATTGTTGGTGAGAAGAGAAAGTATAATTACCACTGAAATGGTCATCATTGGAAAGATAACTCTTTGGTATAATCATCATTCGAATAATGTGAATGAGAAAAGAAGTTGGTGTTAATATAAATAATTCATTACTTGAAAATAAATATCATCATAATAATTAATATAATCCATTACTTGAAATAAATAGTGAATATTAACTGATGGAACAAAGGGAAACGATTAATCAAAGTTCCAAAATTTTGGTATCTCAGCAGCAGAATAGTGACAGAAACGAAGGATGAAACCGTTCTGATACCATGTAGAAGTTTAAGATGATAAAAGATTGTCAAATTCAATATTAATCGGTCCAAACAATTTATTATATAGGCAAAAACTATAACAACAATAAGATAATAACAACCCAAATAATATCTAACACGATAAATAATGTTATTGCCCATACAAATTCATTAGAAACAAAAATTCCAATAAGTTACAACACAAACATACTCTATAAAGTCTCTTACAGAAAGTCACAAGGTTTAGTTTTCTAGACTCATCCAAAATAAATTTACGAGGTTTAAACATTTCGTCGAATACCTTGTATGCATCTCATAAATATATAAACCAATGCAAGTTAGCAGCATGTTTAAGGATAGATACAAATAAAATATAATGAAATGAGAAATGTCAATAGGTCATCGTCATTGATAATAGACAAGAGGAGGAAAATATGCTTTTAAAATGAATTTATACAAAAGGGAAAGTTACCCGGAGTAATTAGGTCAAAATGAAGGTGGTGTAAAGTGCTTATTGGCGGCAGTTATCAAGTAGGATCGGCGATGGAATGTTGTTTTGCTTTGCCTTGGAGAAGTTGGGGTTTGTGAAGCTTTACTTTGGAGAATAGAGAATGGTTTGTGAAGCTTTGCTCTGGAGAAGTTAGGATTTGTAGTGATTAGATGAAGGTTAAAAGAAATGGAGGGTTAGGAAACTAGAGAGAATGGAGGGGAGTGTTAAGAAACCGAGTATGGGAGATTGGATTGGAAAACAACAAATTGGAAAGAAACTGAGTATAAATTGGAAAACAACAGCTAGAGAAAATCGTATGGAGGGTGGTGTTATTTTTTTTTTACAGAGTACTTCATTTTTTTATAACCGTTGTCTAGTTTTATAACCGTAGTATATAAATATAAAAAATCAATAACAATAAAAAATTGTGGCCTAGTTTTCAGCAACAGTTTTGAAACTGTAGATAATGAAGGCGCTGTAGATAAATGTAGTATGTGTAAATAATGGGATGCTACTACAGTTCCATCACAGCAGAGTAGCTTCTGGAAAGCTCTGATGCCAACGCACAACCAGCAGAAAAAATTATGAGAATCGGTTAATAAAGTGGTTTTCTATATAAAAAAATTATCATATAAATGAGTTGAACTATCAATAATTAATATTCTATAAATTTATAGTTTATTGAGAACATTAAACGGGTAATAGGATAATCCTTTTTTATAATTATTAATCATAAATATATTTATCAAACACTTCATCATGGAATGGTGGTTTATAGATGTGGTGGAACTAGACATGTTTCTTATGTGTTTGATAAAATGTATGAGAAAAATTTTGTCTTATTTAATATGAGTGCTGTTAAATAAATATTGTTAAATGTGACATATCAACAACACCCGTACTGAGCACCGTTAAAAGTCATCTACATATATATAAGAGTGTTTGTTGGAGGCTGTGTTGTTGTGTGTATGACATATAATAGCGTTCATTGTAATAGCGCTGTTAAAAGTTGACATACAACAGCGCTATTAAATCATATTATATATTATTGCTATTAAATCATATTATATATTATTGCGCTCACATAGACAGCACATATATGCACTGTTATATTCCTAAAATGCACAATGTTGATTTACATATCTGACATAATGAATGTATTATCTGATGGTGAATCTTAAGTTGAAAATTTAGAGGAGTCATTAGATACCAACTAAGATAATTACTCAATTTAAAATCAATAATTTTAAAATAAGAGCCATGGAATTCTTTATCTCTATGAATATTTATAAATAGATAAAACATAATATTAATGTTCCACCTAAGAACATATCTATTACTTTGTGAGTTGTAATTATTTTTAGAATGTTATACATATATTTTTATGTCAAAATAGATAAGTGAACTATTTGGGGAATGGGGAGCCATGGTCCATGGGTGTCTTGTGCTCTTTCCAAGACTATTTGTATAAATTAAGGTATGACATGTTATAAACTTGATGCAAGAATTAGTTTGAACCTAAAATTATAAAAAAAAATCCACTTATATGCATTTTATATGTCAAAGTTCGAACAAATTTGAAAATCCAAAACAATTTAGGAGGAAAAAAATGAGTATCTATTTTATATCACAAGAATTTAATTGTATTATTTTACAATTAATTTTGGACAAAGTAGGCCTTAAACAAACTATGAGAACCTAAGATACATTTCTTTTGGGATTTTGAGTCCAATATATACACAATTTTATAATGAGTCTTAAATGGTTTCATATTTTGCCCTTATTTCAATTATATGAGTTATTCGATAATAAATTGGTCATTACGATCAATAATGTATTGAATCAATTTATGTATAAAGCAATAATATTTATAATAACAAATTTAAAGAAAAATAAATAAGCACTAGCATATTTGTCATAAAGAAATAAAATTATTTGTATATGTAAAAAATATTTATCTCCCTTTATCTATGGACTAAATGCAGAGCATGAGTGCATGACAGACCTAAAAGGCCGACCCTTGCTATTCTTAGTGTAGCATGCCACACCTAAAATTATGCGGAGTGTGGCATTATTGTGTGATTTAAGTAGAATCATTAAATTATTTATATTATTCTTTTAAAATTATTTAATAAACCCAAGTAATGTCCCACATAATCACGTTTTTAAAGGTAATGTTGACATGAATTTTTGACAATAACTACAATTTAACAAATAAAACCTGAATCCATAGTTAATTTCATATTCATACTTTTCAGAATACCTTTCTTATCTTTCACTTCATGTATCACTTCCTCTTATTGGTTATAAAAAATATATTTAAATTAAAAATGTAATAATTAATTGTTTTTTCGACCAATCATAAAAAATAACATATAAAGTTATATACATTTGGGACAAAAGACATGTTCCCTATATTACCACTCTCTACTAGGTTAAGTTACTCACATGAGTTTAGGAATATGTATTTCCCATATAGGTGTGAGGATAGATTGAGTTAGGTCAGGCAAGACTTGTCCCTTTATCTAGTCCTAAATTTTAGTTGATTGATTTTTTGAACCTGAAGCTAATAGACCCCAAATTTTGACCTGATCAGCCTTTGAATCTGAACAACTATAGATCCGATTAAATATAATGCATATCCTTTTAGATACAAATTTATAAACATTACTTATGATTGTGGATATATGAAATGAAATATGCATACTTATTAAAACCGTTTCGTGTCGACAGGTTGAACCGGTAAATTGGTGAACCGGTCTCAATACCAGTATGATACAATAATTACACCGATCATGTAATTATACCGGTAATAACCGACCAAAATCGGTAAAAACCGATCATACCGGCCGGTTTTCAATTGAACCGTACCGGTCATACCGGTCGATTTTTATTTAAAATTACTTTTTTAATAAAAATAATTATTGTTTTTTATTGATTTTTCAACATTAATGCTAATATATTATATATGTATCTAACTTTATCGGTATACGGTTTAATTAGTGAACCACATGTTAAACCACTATACCCTTATCGATTTGATAACCGATACAGTATTAGTAACACTGAATATATGTATGTATATTGTTAATTATGTATATATGATAAAAAATTACAAAATTAATAACATTTTTTTATCAAAAAGACCTCGTTAATTTATACGCAATTAAATAGACACATATACAAACATAATGAATGAATGAATATGAGACAGGTTGAGTCAGATCATATTATTTACTCATTTTTTAAATATTGACTGAGTCTAATTTTTGAACTTAAACCTAAACCTAGTAAAACTCAACCATATTCGAGTCCAATCATAATTGGATCAAAATGAGTGATCATCCATCGGGTTGAGTTCACCTCCACACCCATCTACCACTTTTGACATTTTAGGTCATATAAATAGTTTAAAAAAATCAATAAATAATGTAAAACTTAAATACAGTTTGGCTACTTTATTTATTTTTTTATATATTTCTACAAATTAGTTTCTCACCGTAAATTTAATCTCCAGTATGATAAGGGGAGATTTTTTCCGAAAAGGAATTATTGAGAAGATAATTGCTAAGAGAGTAGTGCATTGAAAAATAGAAAAAATAAAAGTATTGTCACAAATTACCTATATTAAGGGAAAAATACTTAGATAAATAGGAGTAAAAATAAATTTTATAAGATAAAAAAACAAAAGAGGTACAATTCCCAAAAACACTTTCATTTGTTCTGTAACAAAGATTTATTATCCTAAATAACATCTCACATAAATAAAAATATGACATATTAATAAAAAAAATAAAAAAATATTATTATTATTGTTTCATTATGAGACATAATTTTGGGGAAAAAGAATAATTTTGGAGAAAAAGAACTGTTTTGCACACTATAAAGCTACTACAAACCATTTATTTATTAATTTAATGCTTTATAGTACAAAGTGTAGAGCAGATAAATAGGCTTGAAAAATGTACCACAGGCACCCAACACCTCACTCACCTTCTCTTGTCCAGAAAATTCTCAATCCTCCAAACTGCTTTCTCTCTCTTTCTGTCTCTCAAGTTCATTCAATTCCCTTCAAATAAATTTCTCTTATACTAACTAAATACCCATCACCACTAATTATGACTCTTTTAGTGTACTTTGTGTTTTTTATGTTCCTTACTAGCCATTCAAGTAAGTGCCTGGATTTGTGTTTGTTTTGCTTTTAAGTTTCAACATCTTGTTAAAAGAAGCTTTTAAACTAATCATTATTACAACTACACCCTTCTCTATGTCATCAGTGTGTTTTCATTTTCTTTGATTAAAAAAAGAAACTTTTTGTGTGAACTAACTGTTTTTTTTCTTCATGTTTCTATTTTAACTACAATTTCTACAATAGGTGCAAATTACTGTCTATGCAAAGATGGTGTGGGTGATCAAGCACTTCAGAAAGCAATAGATTATGCTTGTGGTGCTGGAGCTGATTGTGCGCCTATTATGCAAAATGGACCATGTTTCCAACCAAACACTGTTAAGGATCATTGCAATTATGCTGTTAATAGCTATTTTCAGAGAAAGGGTCAAGTTCAAGGTAGCTGTGATTTTAGTGGAGCTACTACCCCTAGTGTAACTGCACCACCTAGTAAGTATCCTTAGCTGAAACTTCAAGCCACCTTCAAATTCTGGTTTAAGTTCTCACTTTTACTAATATTTCTCTTTCTTATTTACAGCTTCAACATCTACATGTGTTTTCCCCTCAAGTCCTAGGTATGATTCTTATTGATTATGTATCAAGTTAGTTGTTGGGTGTTTCCATAATGTATTGAATCTCTTTTTCTATTTACAAATTATAAAAAGGTTTTCTTATACATTTATTTTCTGTTATTGAAGCTTTTTTTTTTCCTGTGGAGGTGCTTACTTGCCTTGGTTAGATTTTGCTTTGATTTTAAGGCTTGCAAAAATAGCTAGACATAGCATGATTGCTGCTTTGAAATATTAGCTGGCATTATTTGGATATTTTGCAATAAATTTTTGTCCATTTCATCCCTAAATGTTTGATCCTAGATCAGTGATCATATATAACATTCAATGCTGATTAATTTCTATGTTTTGGTATATTATCATGAGAAGAAGATGTATAATGAAAGTGTAGTAGTGGATCATCAGACCACAGTTCATATTCAATCACCTTTGACTTGACTTTTAAATATAACTTGTATAATGAAAGTGTTGTTGGGGTTGTAATATCTATGTATAAATTTTTACATTGCGCATAGATATTATATCGGATGGGATTCACTTACTCCAAGAATAAGTGGAAAAAACATACTCTACATTATAGTCATTCATTCTTGGA